CACCAATTTACCAGCCCCAGCCTTTAATACCCAGCTACCTCCCCCCCCCCCCAAATCATCGGTGAACGAAAGTGCGGCAGCTACAACCACCGTACGACGAATACGTGGTTATTACAGCTGATCAGGGAAAATCTGAGAGTTTTCACCCTGCCATAATCCGATTTATGTGCAACAGTGGAGACCCACTCCACTGTGTTGAAACTCAAGACATCCACTTATACCCTTACTGGAACCTTCCCTGATCAACGTTACCGGCCTTGCATCCCACAGGAAGTCTTCAAATTGATTCAAAATCTTGGACTGCGCGGGGCCCTACGCTAGGACGCATTCGCTTCTGTCAGGTAGTCTCCTCAACGTTAAAAGGAAAACAGAAGAGCAAAGAAATTTCGACCGACTGAATTTCTGTTACTTTGGTTACTCTTCTACTATGGATGTGTTCATGAGGATGACCAAAAAATCAACGACAGTTGACATGTCGATCTCAGTAAACACACTACTTGCCAGTAGCGTTCACCACTTGTCATATTAAAGGAGTATCATCAGATCAACTTCGACTGGCCGTAAGCTGAGTAGATTAATTGAGGGTTCAACATGTTCCATTGTGTTGACTTATTTTTGCGTAAACGCTCTATGCAATCGACCATTCTCCGTGGTTTAGGAAACCCATCGAACCATAAACAACACCACAACTCGCAGATCAGCTACACCAAAGCCAATTTCACTAATCTACTCCCTCAAGTTGCCGTAGCATTTACACACTTCAGAGAAACTGCTCTCTAAGAAAGAACAGGCGCAAGCTAAGAAGCTACAAATAAAAGCAAGAGGATACTGAACGCTGATGTATTCAAAGGGATCTGAAAAATGGTTAGTTGGACAGTCACAATGGATATCATCGCTCACTATCCTGGTTCATTTCCCTCACCAAGGGTTTGAATGTCGAATATGAAGAAGTCGGTTGACTTTCGTATAAGACGGATAACTTCCTCGTTCGTGAACTACGGACGTGATGATTTTCCGGGGAAAAGTTTACCTCCTTTTATCCTATCAAGGCGGTAATAAGTACCAGAGTAAAAACGGATGCAGACCTGGTAACCGACCATTGCTGGGAGCAAGTTTTTCATGAGAATATCACACACTGTTTATTGTCTCTTAATCGATAGTCATTCTGAAGCGAACGGATGAACAGAAATGTGTAAGTCTCATTTCAGAATTTACATCAGCATTAAACAGGCAAGGTCTGTCTCTAGCCTACATTCTGTGTAACTCATCATCATCAATGTCAGTGGTAATAACCGCATACTCGTCGTACAGCGGATGTAGCTGCCACAGTTTCGTTCACCGATGATTGGGGGGGGGTAGGTAGTTGTGCATTGCAGGTGGGAGATGGTAACTTGGTGCACAAATCCAGCACTGTCAATGGACTGTCAAGAGGGGGGAGGGGGGGTGGATCCGATCTCCTAAAGCTCTTCACAGGGGAACTCTCTTTCAAATTGGGACCCACAGGCTGTGCTTAGATGAACCGGACATGTGACGCTGATTAAAACATTCAGATTGTTACGTCTATATTGCGCGTCCTTTGGAGAGCTTGGGCAGACGGTGGATTTGATTTTACGTGTGATTAACCAGTTTTTGACTGATTCAACCATCTAACTACCCATTAGTGGTTAGAACATTTTGTACGATTAGTCCTCCGTAGGTTGTGAGATTTTCTAGCCTCGATCACTGTCTAAGCATTTTGACATAGTCAGTGTACAGCAGACAATATACCAAAGTGACAATTTCTAAATGATGGAGTGTTGGGAGTGTAGTAGCGGTTTTAGCTTATGTTTTTTTAATTTCTAGCGATCTTGTTCCAAATGTTAGGAAGAGACGCACTGAGTTTATATTATTAGAACTGTATTGTATTGTTTAAGCTTCAGTTGTCTTCGGAAGGATTTTCCAGTCTTTATATTTGTGATGCAGGTAGCGGTGGAAAAGTTCGGATTGCTGTGAAACGGAAAGATGGGTTAACTAAGTCAGATGAAACGTTGCCACCAACTTACCACATGTTTGGTGTTTAAATCTTCATACCCACTTCCAAAACAACGAAATTTATCTGGATCGATAGATGTGCTCCGGTTAGTGATCCATGTGCAAATATTTTTGACGGTAGACCATGCTCTCGGTCCACGAATGGCCACAGCCAAGCAGGGTGCTGACTCCGTTCTTTGGCAGGAGCCATGGACATCCGAAGTCTTCAACCAACCAAGACGAACGCCTACCACATCCAAATATTTGGCCTGAACGTTCAGTAGTAGGGTGAAAATGTTTTGTTTTATTTGGCTCTGTGTCATGTTGCCTAACTGCAATTCAATGACTACTGTTGTCCAGTCGGTGGCAGAAAGTTCATTCATTCCTTCACACTGATTTTCACAGTATGCTGCATCTTCACAGTGACTCCGCACTATGGTTTCGAGATGTTCAGTAGGTGGAACAAGGGGTGTTTGTTCGCTAGTGAGTTGTCCCTGAAATACATTGGGTGCAGCCTCCATCCATGATTCAAGGATACAATTGGATACCTCCACTTTCATTCGAACTTCTGAATATTCGATGTTTGGAATTGCAAACTGCTCCGCGTCCCAAAGAAGAGCTTCATTAACCTTCCAATTAGTTGCCTGGTGGTAGTAAAAATAAATAAATAAAAATAAAATAAAAATAAAAATAAATAAATAAATGAGCTATGTCTAAAAACGCTCCAAGAACGTCACGATTCGGATGCTTGATTCAGTATGGGCTGCCTAGAGAGACAACTGCTGAGTCGCTACGAGATCTCTATAACTGAAGCAATAAATACATTCTGATCTTAGATAATGTTTGTGGATAGATGTAAGCAAGTTCCTCATGCTCAGAAATACAGAGTAACACCCATACTCAGCATACAAAATACGAAATACCATCCCGTTTCATCAAACACCAAACTTCATCTTACGAGAAAGCTAACGGTTGTTCTAAAGTCCGATACTGACTAAAATACCTGAAATATAACTGTTTAGATGGGCGATTAGACAGATTAAATTTCGAAAAGAATGTCTACCTGGCAGGCCCGCCTAGTAAGGCTAAAATAGGACAAAGCTACCAGAGAGTTTTCAGTGATTTCTGGTCAGTCTCACCACACTGCATACAGTCGTCACATGTTAAAGAGCCCAAATACCTATTGGCTTTATCACCTTATTTGTTAACAAATCCTTTCGTACCAATCATTCAGAAGGTAACCTTATAGTACTAGATATAGTTCTTGTAAATCCACTGTGACCGAGAGGCAGCTATGCATGCAGTAAACTGTGGTTACATGTTATCTTCTACGTCCGGCAATGCTAGGGCGCACATTGAAGTGTAGTCCTTACAAAGAACAGCCTTCTGGAATTGTGCTATGAAACACCCGAACTCTGTTTAGTTTGCACAATATTTATTGCACCGGTGATTGGGCAACAGTAAAGAAGACGTACGTATACTGTTTTGGACTGGACTGCTAGCACCGAAGGTTTAATCGCGTTATTGTCATTTTCTTTCCCACTCATTGTGGATACTGTTGTGGTAACTTCCGCGCACCTCAATAAGTGCCCTAGTGCTTTCTGGCTAGCCAAAGCTAAAATATGTTTCCAAACCCGAGGATTTTTATACGAAAATAAGCATATCTGCAAGCCCAGTGGGTTGAGATCGAAAACCATCCATTGGAGAAAGGTAGTAGTTGACTGTATCACATGAGTACTTCTTAGACGCGCTGATAGTTATGAGTAGTCTTGGTGATAATGCTAACTAACTGTTCTCATTTGTCCTGATTTGTACCATACATGTGGTAACCAGTCCATGTAGTTATTTTTAAAGCCCCAAGATCACTACTGAAACTCAAAGGATACGTTGGTCAGAATACTTGGATTGGAAAAAATCTTTAACACACGACCTAAAATGCCGTAAATATACAGAAGTTCAACAAAATGGATCTTACCTCCTTTGTCCACACATCTTCTAGGGTAATCTTTGCCTGCTCTCGAGTTAGAGGATGTAAACTTGTCACGAGTAACGCATGAAGTTTCGGCTGTCCTACAAGTGGAATATTCGGCTCAACTTGTTGATGGACAGATGCCGTTTGTAACAACCCGATAGTTGTAAAGCCTGAAGTTGATTCATCTTCTTCCTTTGCCACTGCTAGACTAACCAGCCAGGCTAGAAAGGCAAAATATGTCGCTTGTGCATTGTGTAACCAGGAGCACTCAGTATCGCTTGCTTTGGTGAGATCAATGGCTGATGTGATGCTAGGTAGTGGCTGAGTGACACTGACAAAAAGCCCTTCTGAGAACGAACCGGTTGTTGTTTCCAAAAGTGGAATCGGTTCGTCGTAAGTTGCTTCCTAGAAATCAAGAGGGTAAGAGGAAATAATGAAAAAATTATCTTTTTAGGTTTCTGGTGCATTTCGACCGGAACTGCCGAATGAGTTCCTTGTGTGGGAAATTATGTGAACTTCACACTACCGTTGGATTTGAATAGTCGAAATGGTACGGAGAATGGCGATCAAATGAGAGCATGACTAGATTAGTTCGTAGAAGCACTGTTCTCGTGCAAAATGCAAGTTAATTCTCGTATTCAGTTTTATCTTTCTTGTGGTTCAGAATAATTTTTCTGTCTTCATTCCAGTTTGGCGATGCAGGATATTATATAATTCCACTCCTAATCATCATTGAGAACACTTTGGTATCCGATATTTGTGCCTCACCGCCGTGAAACCATAATTAATTTGAAGGCCTTACTGTAAAAGGGGGAATAAAAGTGAACAAGGAGGGGTATTAATTCTAGACGTAACACACTACTCATAGGGTTTTAAAAACTCGCTTGAAGGCCTTACTGTAAAAGGGGGAATAAAAGTGAACAAGGAGGGGTATTAATTCTAGACGTAACACACTACTCATAGGGTTTCTAAAAACTCGCTGACAGTCCGCGACCCGTTTGACCCTCTTAGGGCTCATCAAGTAGGCGCAGTTCCCAGGTTTCCATCATTCGTATGTTCTACTTGAATCTAATCGCATTGTTCAAGGATTAACATCACAACGAGAAATTCAGCTGGGTTCCAGTCAAATATCCCGAAAAAATCGAACTGGTTTGCATATGGGGACTGGTTCTAACCTATCACCGACGTTCCTACGACTCCAGACGCTCATATAGACACTTTAGATGATTATGAAAACACGAACTCCAGTGCTTCAGTGCAGTATGTCCATGCATATACGTGAGAGGTCATGTGAACCCATCCTCGAAGGCCATTCTTTATAATCCTCCTTAATTCCATGGAAATTGAAAACACTACCCTAAATGTCTCCAGAAAATAGGTGCATGGTGTCAGTCGGTGAGGATGCGGGCTCAAGAAAACTATTTGGCCGGTAACTATATTCATGTGTGACAGCAGCAGGAAGCTGGTTGATAATTAACCGTCTGCTGTGGTTTATATTGGTGACTCTGGCAAAACCCAGACGTTGTATCCGTTTTTACAATTCCTGCAAAATCTCCACCTATGATATGAAGTCGAATACAGAAAGGACTACAAAAGTGTCGCGGTAACGTGCGTGGGGACGCTTAAGCTTTAGTCTCCTAATACGGCAGATATAATATCGACTACAAGTGTTTTACTTTCTAGTTTGTTCCATCCAGTTCACTCTGTAGCTCGGGCAACTTCAAAAGCATTTTGGACAACTTTATTTACAGAATAATAATATAAAGCTCTTTAGCGCTGGGTCACCAGGTGTTTGATGGGTGCCCGTTGATTGATGCGCTTAGTACCCCACTTCGTCGACGGAAAATACGACCGGGTGGTGGCCCAACAAAACATCGGGCGCCGGCTGACTCAGCAATATGTCTCAATATCCCGCCGATGACGTCACCTCGACTGGTGATGAAGCGTTTTCAACCAAACCGCTTAGCTCTGTGAACAAAACAACGATCACCTATTTATCTGAAATATCGATATTTTTCCCACTCCCGGATGCGCTAGTTGCAAGAATGGGACATAAATGATAACTACACAGTAAGTGAATTTGCGATTGTGAGCCGGTCGACTAGGTCGGCTAGATGAGGTACCGTGTTTGTGGTACACCTTCATTGGCCAAGTCAACCACTTCAGGATGCGAAACGTGTTTCCCAAGGTGTTTGCTATGGAAAAGCGCAACATGCGACTAAGTTTGCACATTGAATAGAGTTTGTTCTGCCGGAGGTTTCCTCGGAAATTTTTCGGTTTCAGTTCCAGAAGCCTTTTGGTCAAATTCTACTAGACACTACTTTATGCCTTGCTTACTCTTGAGCCTCATTTATTCATAACACGTGTGAACTTTTGTGCGGTTGCCCATAGAACTTTTGGACAAAATTCCATCATTGCATTAAATAAAGTAGAACATAAAGGCACCTGTGTAAACATATCAACAGAATGACATGATACTACCTGATCGCTCAGCTGTAACACCCTTCCGGTGCCTAGCTGCAATGCTACCCAAAGGGAGCACATCACACCGCACACCGCACATCACACTATTCTGATAACTGCCTGAAAATATGTAAAACCTTCACAGCAAAACCTGTTAAAACAGCACATGTCAGCTAGAAAAGGTTTTATTCCAATTCCACGTCTAGGTATTGAGCCAGTTTAGAACTCCAAGGGTCTCCTAGGATCACCCTTTTCCAGTAAGTAAGAAGTAACCTATCTGCGCCAAACCGATAATCCAAAACTACTTAGATATTTCTAAGTCTTCATAAAATATACCATTTTTATGACGTGTTGTTTTGATGGGGAAAATAAAGGGTACCATTTTTAGCAAAAAACGACAGTACTACCTACTTCGTGTAGTAGTATACCTGACGATAGTTGAAGGCCGTATGTGGTGCACACCTCTTTCAAATAATTTCTTCTTCTCTCCAGAAAGGTTTCTGCAACTGTTCTGTGAAAGTACAAGGAAATGAACAAATATAACTACTCACAGTTTTTCAAGGTCACGATCGAGCTTCGGTTTATCAAATCCGCTGTTATGTTCGTAAGACCTGGGAATGTCCGCAGTGGCTGAGTTTGAGTGTTTAGACTTCCCATTCCGTACACCGTTTTCGTTTAGTCTACTTGCACGTCTGGTAGTGAAAGCTCTAATCACGTCAATCTGATTTCCTTACTCTAGCCCTTGTGCCCGTCTCTGCGCTCGAAAATTCTCTAACCACAATCCACTATCCTGCTCTTCACCGGAATCACTGGAACTGTCGTTCATCACATTTTTATCGAAGTTTTTTAATGTCTGGCTCGGTTGTTCTAAGCCTTACATAAGTGTTATCTTTCACCATACCCTGAATTCTGGGGTGTGCATTCCGTAGGTCGCAGTGAACTGTTTTCCTTTGTGAGTTCTCAATGCATGCCATATTGACTGAAATTTAATTAAGGCAAGAAATGGGATTAATTACTTGGATTTTCCTGTGAGTATGTTGCGTCGCTTGCGTAAGATGACTTCCTGTATTGTTCTGAAGCTTTCTGAAGATACTCTAGGACTGCTTGCTCGTTGGATCTGGCAAATTCTGCAGCTTAAATAGTCATGTGTCTCAAACGTGTGGGCGACTACCATCTCCCAACGGATCACCTGAGCAATCAAAAACGCGATTCAATTCATCCTCGGGTACGTTATATGCTTCAAGATACCGATCTTGACACATAACACCAAAGTTGAAGTGAACAAACCCAGCTCGCTCGTGTGACTGCCTTGGGTAATAGATAGAACGGTTTTAATTGGGTAGTATTTTTTGAACGTCTGTTCACGATATCTCCCATTCAAGGTCGGATTGCGAGTGCACTTTATGCGATTGTTCCCAGCTGCGGAATTACATGATTTGGTTCCAATAACTCTTGCAGAATTTTCACCGGGACTTTTTGTTTTATTCTCTATGCACATGTTTTTTTCTGTATCATTCTCTTTGTGTGAGGTCAGAAGTACCCTAAGTTCTTCAAATGCTCGCTAAAGTTTGCAAAATGAGCACATATGTATTCATATATGTGTGCGTAAGAATCACCTCATCTTCATCCGACAACTTAAAGAGTTCTTCTGGCTTTGGACGTTCAAATGGCATGACTATGGAATTCTCATCTCCCGATGGGAAGCCGGGAATACACTGACTAAAAGGGACTTTGGGCATGTTGCTCATAATTGCTGCTTGTATATCCTCAAATGACATGTCATATTTATCATCATTGTCCATCTCCAAACAAGGCCTTTGAGAACTTCCTGTAACAAAATATTGTGTGGTGAGATTTAATAATGAATATAAATAATTGCTTCATATTTGCAAAACTAGTTACACCAGTAGTGTAATCACAATCAGCACGCTCGTTCGACGGTTGTACACTCTGTAACCAAGTGAAGTAAGATATGAAATGGTGGATTCAACCAAAAAGAGGGCGGTGAATTCAATTAGCAGTTATTTCTTCAACCTCTCTAGCCAAACATCGATGAAAACACGCAAACCGCACTTCTAAAGTTAACCCAAGCCCAGAGTATTCAGACTCTGTAAGATCGCACTTAAATCTTGACGCTACCTCGAATGTCATCAGTTCTGTCCTCTTGCCACTTTGAATTTGGCATTGAAAATTGTGCTACTTCCAGTATACCATACTTCAACAGTTAATTTAAAAAGCTTATTAAGAGACATGGAAGCAGACGTGGAGTCCACTGGATATGGACTTTTAGACAATTACACCTAGAAACTTTCCCAAGGAAAATCACTTCCTCCAAGAACAAATGTCCATGTAACATACAAGCCTGCAGCATACTGTCGATCTGTGTTTCCTTCTTTTGTCGTCCAGGTTATTTTATCTCTGACAATGAAGCACTGTGTACCAACGAAATCTTGATAGTGCTGTGCATCTGAAGCCACTATCTAAAGATCACTGATAAAATAATACAAAATAGGAAAAAATACAATTAATGGCACATCAGCGTGGGCAAGCAGAACTGGTGATGCACTAACCACTGGAGTCAGTAGTACTCATATTATCTGATTCAGCCAACCGTTGTTCGCATCTCAGTAACTTTCCGTTTGACAATTTCGATGAATAGGTATTGGCTTCTTAGTCGCTTTCCTGGATCTATGTTACCAACCATTCCAAACACTTTTTGCAAGCGCTTTTTATTTCGCTGTTGAATCAGGAATAAAAATTTTCAGTTATCATTTGAAAACATATGTTAGAATGAACGACATCATATCTTCTCTCCTGATGCTCACTTGAACAAAGTAAAAATGGGACATTCACCGATAAAATTGCAGAAACACAGGTACAGTGTTGTTGAACTCAGAGCTGATGACATGAATAGTGATTCAGTCCCCAGTGATAGAAATCGTTCTCCTACCCGAGATACATGAGCTTAGCTCTGCAGTTGTTTCCAGTTTTATGTGATACTTTAAAAGCATTGAAAATGAGATACGAATGTCGAACAAAGCACCTTTGAATAAAACTGCCCTTCAGAACAATTTGATAGTTCATCGCCTTACTTATTAGCTGACGTATTTCAATACAGAATAGTAGAATTGACAAGAGCTCAAAATGGCTTGACTACTTGACTGATAATAAACAAACTTAAGACACCCTGGTAACTTTTGATAGTCGCAACTGTAGATAGGACCATGTTGTTTTTGTTCAACCTAATCCAGCTGGTCACTTTTGACACCTAAAAACTAACTGCCTGATAGGGTATGCCAAACAACCCGTCTTGTGCGTATCTTCTTCCGATCAGTACCGGTAAATTTCATGATATCACTAGTTTTTGAAATGGAATATTCCTCACTGACAGTGACAGCAACTTATATTTCATACGGTGTAGTATGGGTCACGTGTTCTGAAACTCGACAAATCAGATCATTTGCAGCCATAATCACCTGATGGTCCGAAAAATGACATTTTAGCAGAGATTATGTTATCGATTTGGGCGTTCAGCTGCCAGATCTGAAAAACAGCAATTATTCCATTTCCAGCGGTAGTGTGAGCAGACTGTGTGATAGTCAACTGAGATCTTGTCTCTAGGAAAAGTCATTATATGCTAAAAAGCTGAGATGCACCTTGCAGCCATTTGATCCTTACTTGTACTTGTTCAAAGTCTGCATCTCACAAAACTTAGTAATATTTAGCCAGTATATATATCACAGGTGACTGTCAGCATTGTGAATGACTCGCAGTTAGACGGGACAGACTGTCACTCGTTCTTCAAGCTAATGTGGAGTGGCTCCTCAGGTAAATACGTATCAAATTGGAGTTTGACTCTAAGTGTAAGCTATCTGTTCTTCTGAGTTGTCTAGTGGCCTATTTACCTACGACTGTTCCCAGTCCACGCCAGTTTGGTTCCACCAAGATATTTGTTTGAAGTTCTTTTGTTTAACTGTGGATTGGATCTGTGTTATTGGATCACACACGTAAACACATCACGTCCTATTTCACCTTGTAAAACAGATTTGCTTTATGGAATTTCAAAGCATTTTAGCCAGAAAAGGAAACGTAATGATAAATCTTCAAAATCAAAGAAAAAGTTCGCTATGAATTGCCCCAACACTCAGGAGCTTATTTTTCCTCCTATATAGTGGCAAGAATCTAAACGAAGCTGGTACTGATTGTTGCTCGAGTATCCTAAGAGTAAGCAAACTTGCAATAGCCCACTCCGAAAAAAGATATTTGGATAACTTGTAGCGATGATAATTTGTAAACGTTCACTTCGGTGTGTTTACAGGGTTTTGGATTGATTATCAAACTTTCTTACAGTTTTTGCGTTGCAGCTACTTTTCATCTTTCTGAACCGAAACTTTGAGTCAGATAAACCTTCAACTAAGACAATTGCTTTATCACTTCAGTGAAAGCCCATGATGCTCAACTAGACGATGCATGCCCTGACGAATCGTCATATTGTCCACAAATAGCTGGCAAGAGGTTTTTTTTTAAGTTGATAA